TTTTTTTGTCGATGGGGAAGGGAAAGAAAAAAAAGTTTATATGAAAAAGAATTATTATTATTTGTTATTATTTCAAAATAAAACCAAAGTACAAAATAACTACAAACCATGAACGTTTTGAAAAATGCTATTAAACCATTCAGCATTTTACTTTGGACGAGAGCAGAGAAAATGCTCCAAACCAAGCGGCTACTCCACCTTCTGACCCGTCCTGCTCCACCCAGAGGCTACTCCACCTCTGCTGCTGTGACCCGTCCTGCTCCACCCAGAGGCTACTCCACCTCTGCTGCTGTGACCCGTCCTGCTCCACCCAGAGACTACTCCACCTCTGCTGCTGTGACCCATCCTGCTCCACCCAGAGGCTACTCCACCTCTGCTGCTGTGACCGGTCCTGCTCCACCCAGAGGCTACTCCACCTCTGCTGCTGTGACCCGTCCTGCTCCACCCAGAGACTACTCCACCTCTGCTGCTGTGACCCGTCCTGCTCCACCCAGAGACTACTCCACCTCTGCTGCTGTGACCCGTCCTGCTCCACCCAGAGGCTACTCCACCTCTGCTGCTGTGACCGGTCCTGCTCCACCCAGAGGCTGCTCCACCTCTGCTGCTGTGACCCGTCCTGCTCAATCAATCAATCAAATTTTATTTATGAAGCGCTTTTCATACAAAAGATGCAACACAAAGTGCTTTACAGTTTGGTTAAAAACAATCCCGCCGACCCAAGACCCCTCCCCCCGACCACCCAACAGACCCACCCCAAACCACAGACAAACACACACACGCTCCCATGCACACTCTCTGACACACACACACACACACACGCACACGCACGCACGCACGCACGCACACACAAGTAAAACAGTAAAACAATGATGAGAGACTTGGCAGGGTTCGGATGCAACCAGTTGAAAAAGCGTCATCCAAGGAGCCGTCTGCACCAGGAGCAGAGAGCCGCCTGTAGCCACAGGGGACGACACAGGATCCAGAGGAGACCCGAAACCGAGGCCCCAGGCCCCCACCAGGTCCAAGAGTCCGACCCCCACAGCCATGCCGACCACCGCTCCCAGTGCAGAGGGCTCCTCCAGAGGAAACACTGGGTACACCAAAAACAATACAATAACAATACAATATGTAAAACACAAAAATGTGAAACTAAAATGAAACTAAAATGAACTAACACACAATACATGAATAAAAGCAATAGCAATACAATAAATAATAGAGGATAAATAGAATATATAAAATGAAATAATAAAAACTAATCAAAAGCTAATCTAAAAAGGTGCGTCTTGAGCCTGCTTTTAAAAATATGAACGTTCTCTGCGGCCCTGAGCTCCTCCTCAGACTGTTCCAGAGACGGGGGCCGTAGTGCTGGAAAGATGCCTCGCCGTGAGTGTGTGTCCTGACTTTGGGGATGGTTAGGAGTCTGCTGCCGGAGGAGCGCAGGGGCCGGGAAGGTTCATAGGATAAAAGCAAATCTGAAAGATAAGAAGGCCCAAGACCTTTAAGACATTTAAAAACCATTAAAAGAACCTTAAAATCGATCCTGAAACACACGGGGAGCCAATGCAGCGATTTTAAAACCGGTGTAATGTGGTCCCGCCCCCTGGTCTTAGTCAGGACACGTGCGGCCGAGTTTTGGAGTAATTGTAAACCTGAAATGTTCTTTTTGGGAAGACCAGAGAGCAGGGCATTACAGTAGTCAATGCGACTGGTGATAAAAGCATGCATCAGCGTCTCCGTGTTGGCCCGAGAGAGAATGGGGCGGACTCTGGCGATGTTCTTTAGATGATAAAAACCTATTTTTGTGATGTTCTTGATGTGAGGAATAAAAGTCAGCTCAGAGTCAAAGATTACGCCCAGGTTTTTCACTTGTGATGATGGATTAAAAGAGTGTGATTGGAGTTTTGATAAAAGTTTCTCTCTCTGGGCCTCAGGACCGATGACTAAAACCTCAGTTTTGTCCTGGTTGAGCTGGAGAAAGTTTTCTGCCATCCAGGATTTCAGGTCTAAAATGCAGTTAAAAAGAGCATCCATTGGCCTGCTCCACCCAGAGACTACTCCACCTCTGCTGCTGTGACCCGTCCTGCTCCACCCAGAGGCTGCTCCACCTCTGCTGCTGTGACCCGTCCTGCTCCACCCAGAGGCTGCTCCACCTCTGCTTCTGTGACCCGTCCTGCTCCACCCAGAGGCTACTCCACCTTTGCTGCTGTGACCTGTCCTGCTCCACCCAGAGGCTACTCCACCTTTGCTGCTGTGACCCGTCCTGCTCCACCCAGAGGCTACTCCACCTTTGCTGCTGTGACCCGTCCTGCTCCACCCAGAGGCTACTCCACCTTTGCTGCTGTGACCCGTCCTGCTCCACCCAGAGGCTACTCCACCTTTGCTGCTGTGACCTGAAGGGCTGTTGCTGATTGCTATTGTTAGCTTTTTTGAATGATATATATACATTTTATTATTATTATTTTTTTGCTGCTACTGGACACCTGAATTTCTCCGACGGGGATCTATAAAGTATCTATCTATCTATGACAGGATCATTTCTAAAGGCACAGCAAGCAACAGCTCAAGGCAAACTAAAGGTGCGTTCAGACCAAACGCGTCTTGAGCGTCCAAAGCGTTGGGTTTACATTGACATAACATCGGGGACGCGCGTCTAGGAGCGTCAAGAGATCACGCGGCGCGTCAGGCGCGTCACGCGCCTCCCGAGCAGCGCCTCCCGAGCAGCGCCTCCCGAGCAGCGCCTCCCGAGCAGCGCCTCCCGAGCAGCGCGTCTTTGAGCGTTTGCCGCGGCGCGTTTTGAGATTTCGAGCGTCTTGACGCGCGTGACGCTCGAGTTGAACAATGTTGAACTTTTCGGGAGAAGACGCGAGCGTCTACCAATCAGGAGCCTCCTCCAACAGTGACGCATTTCACGGCAGGACCGAGGGGGACGACAACACAACAGCGATGGAGGACAAGCTGTGCTGTTAGTCCATGAGCCCTGCAGACTATAACCACCGTGACTGGAGGAGGGTCAGTGAGGAGGTTGGTGTCTCTGGTAAGTTATTTAAACTTTACTTTAAATACTTCCCTGCGCAAAATCTGTAATGTCACAGGGAGAAACAAACCCACAGATTACATATTAAAGCTACACAGAGGAAACAGTCCATGGAGACAGCAGCTGTAGTATTCTAACATGTAGTATGCTAACATGTAGTATTCTAACATGTAGTATTCTAACATGTAGTATTCTAACATGTAGTATGCTAACATGTAGTATTCTAACATGTAGTATTCTAACATGTAGTATTCTAACATGTAGTATGCTAACATGTAGTATTCTAACATGTAGTATTCTAACATGTAGTATTCTAACATGTAGTATTCTAACATGTAGTATTCTAACATGTAGTATTCTAACATGTAGTATTCTAACATGTAGTATTCTAACATGTAGTATGCTAACATGTAGTATGCTAACATGTAGTATGCTAACATGTAGTATGCTAACATGTAGTATGCTAACATGTAGTATGCTAACATGTAGTATGCTAACATGTAGTATGCTAACATGTAGTATGCTAACATGTAGTATGCTAACATGTAGTATGCTAACATGTAGTATGCTAACATGTAGTATGCTAACATGTAGTATGCTAACATGTAGTATGCTAACATGTAGTATTCTAACATGTAGTATGCTAACATGTAGTATGCTAACATGTAGTATTCTAACATGTAGTATCTAACATGTAGTATCTAACATGTAGTATGCTAACATGTAGTATGCTAACATGTAGTATGCTAACATGTAGTATGCTAACATGTAGTATGCTAACATGTAGTATGCTAACATGTAGTATTCTAACATGTAGTATGCTAACATGTAGTATTCTAACATGTAGTATGCTAACATGTAGTATGCTAACATGTAGTATGCTAACATGTAGTATGCTAACATGTAGTATGCTAACATGTAGTATGCTAACATGTAGTATTCTAACATGTAGTATGCTAACATGTAGTATTCTAACATGTAGTATTCTAACATGTAGTATGCTAACATGTAGTATTCTAACATGTAGTATTCTAACATGTAGTATTCTAACATGTAGTATTCTAACATGTAGTATGCTAACATGTAGTATTCTAACATGTAGTATGCTAACATGTAGTATGCTAACATGTAGTATTCTAACATGTAGTATTCTAACATGTAGTATGCTAACATGTAGTATGCTAACATGTAGTATTCTAACATGTAGTATGCTAACATGTAGTATGCTAACATGTAGTATTCTAACATGTAGTATGCTAACATGTAGTATGCTAACATGTAGTATTCTAACATGTAGTATTCTAACATGTAGTATGCTAACATGTAGTATGCTAACATGTAGTATGCTAACATGTAGTATTCTAACATGTAGTATGCTAACATGTAGTATGCTAACATGTAGTATGCTAACATGTAGTAGTCTAACATGTAGTATTCTAACATGTAGTATTCTAACATGTAGTATTCTAACATGTAGTATTCTAACATGTAGTATGCTAACATGTAGTATGCTAACATGTAGTAGTCTAACACTGTTATCTGTATTCATATAAAATAGATTGTGTATATAATTTATAATCCCATACTAAGACTGGGAATACTGTATAATTATTAACATTTACTGTATATATGTGGCTTATTATGAAGCACTTTTCATACAATAGTCTGATAAATATAATGAAATAAGAGCACATTATACAGATGTTTATTTTGTTATTAATAAAGGACATTTGCAGATGACAGTCTCACTTCCAAAAGGTTTAAAGTGGTTAGCCACGCTTCTAAGTTTTATTTGTGTGTATATTTCCATTATATTATTCTTCTGTTCCTCCTCAGTGTCTGTTTCTCCTGCTGTGTACCTCTAATATTAAATACAGGAAGGATTTCTGTATTTTATTTTGAGGTGTCCATGTTTTAACATGATCTTTGTGTTCTTTTTCAGAGACTTTTGGTGAAATGGAACTCAGACTTTCTCTGACAGCAACAAAATCACACTGCATCGTTTCTCCTGCTTCACCTCCATCACCTCCTGCTTCACCTCCATCACCTCCTGCTTCACCTCCATCACCTCCTGCTTCACCTCCATCACCTCCTGCTTCACCTCCTGCTTCACCTCCATCACCTCCTGCTTCACCTCCATCACCTCCTGCTTCACCTCCATCAACCTCCTGCTTCACCTCCATCACCTCCTGCTTCACCTCCATCACCTCCTGCTTCACCTCCATCAACCTCCTGCTTCACCTCCATCAACCTCCTGCTTCACCTCCATCACCTCTGCTTCACTCCATCAACCTCCTGCTTCACCTCCATCACCTCCTGCTTCACCTCCATCACCTCCTGCTTCACCTCCATCACCTCCTGCTTCACCTCCATCACCTCCTGCTTCACCTCCATCACCTCCTGCTTCACCTCCATCACCTCCTGCTTCACCTCCATCAACCTCCTGCTTCACCTCCATCAACCTCCTGCTTCACCTCCATCACCTCCTGCTTCACCTCCATCACCTCCTGCTTCACCTCCATCACCCTCCTCTCACTCCTGCTTCACCTCCATCACCTCCTGCTTCACCTTCATCACCTCCTGCTTCACCTCCATCAACCTCCTGCTTCACCTCCATCACCTCCTGCTTCACCTCCATCACCTCCTGCTTCACCTCCATCAACCTCCTGCTTCACCTCCATCACCTCCTGCTTCACCTCCATCAACCTCCTGCTTCACCTCCATCACCTCCTGCTTCACCTCCATCACCTCCTGCTTCACCTCCATCACCTCCTGCTTCACCTCCATCACCTCCTGCTTCACCTCCATCACCTCCTGCTTCACCTCCATCACCTGCTTCACCTCCATCACCTGCTTCACCTCAATCAACCTCCTGCTTCACCTCCATCAACCTCCTGCTTCACCTCCATCACCTCCTGCTTCACCTCCATCAACCTCCTGCTTCACCTCCATCAACCTCCTGCTTCACCTCCATCACCTCCTGCTTCACCTCCATCACCTCCTGCTTCACCTCCATCAACCTCCTGCTTCACCTCCATCAACCTCCTGCTTTACCTCCATCAACCTCCTGCTTCACCTCCATCACCTCCTGCTTCACCTCCAGCTTCACCTCCATCACCTCCAGCTTCACCTCCATCAACCTCCTGCTTCACCTCCATCACCTCCTGCTTCACCTCCATCACCTCCTGCTTCACCTCCAGCTTCACCTCCATCACCTCCTGCTTCACCTCCAGCTTCACCTCCATCAACCTCCTGCTTCACCTCCATCACCTACTGCTTCACCTCCTGCTTCACCTCCATCACCTCCTGCTTCACTGCGGATTAGCAATATGAACTACAACAAACATATTTTCATGTTTATTTAATCATCAGTCATGAATAGTTAGAACAATGGGATCTGCATCTCTGAAGACGAGCAGCAGCAGCAGCAGGAGCAGCAGCAGGAGCAGCAGCAGCAGGAGCAGCAGCAGAGTCCTGGGCGTCTGCCTCTGACACCTTCATAGAGAGCCTGGAAATAAAAAATAAAAAATAAAACTTGTTGGTGTTATTATAATTTAGTTTTTTGTGTCTGAAGTGTAAAGAGTCATGAATAATAAGGTATTATTTACACAGGTACATATTTGTCAGCAGTACTTAAAGTTCTAATTGAATACATTCAACTCTAATCTGATCAGTAACAGTCTCTTTACTGATGTTCGTTATAATACAGATCCATGGATGTGGTTATTATTATTATTATAGGTCCATGGATATTCCTTTCTCAACAGAAAACACACGTTATTACATTTATGTTAGTGATGCACAAACGAGGGCCAGAGCAAATAAATCAATCATATATCATTTATCGCATATGAGTGCATTGTTTACATACACTATGACTTTGTAAACACGAATTATTACTGGCAATACAATTGTTATAACAGAGAAAGTCCGTAACAAAAGCCTCGGATTTTCAGAATGAAGCTTGTGAGAGCTCCACTGATGTGTCCCCGCGTTGAGACGCTCTTTCTCGGCTTGAGCACTGCCCGACCCCCGCTCTCTGCACTGGAGAAAAGTCCGACAATGTTCTATTTGATCCCCAAACAGACCTCCGATATGACAACAGAGGGGGGTATTCCTCGCCTCAAATGTTATTAGAAGTAACTTTTATGTCCTAATTAAAGCGTATTTTACACTTTTTACCTTAATCCTGGCTCCCGTGTCCTTCCCTCTCCGAGTTGTGTTGGAACAGAGCGGGCCTGACCCAAAACGCTCTTCTTTGACGCGCCTCCAGAACGCTGCCCTCTAGTGTCCTGGACGCGTGAGACGCGCCTCCAAGATGCTCTGTGACAGCGTCTGCCACAATGTGTCACATGCATCCCAAGACGCGCGTCAGACGCGATTTTGCCGCAGAAAACGCGTTTGGTCTGAACGCACCTTAAGGCAGGGTGGTTAAGAAACTCTCCTGTATTGTCCCATTACTGCTTTACTTCATTATGCAGTAAAAATCAAATACACAACTATCGCTGTGGGGAAACTTCAGAGACTCGTTCGGACTGCGTGTGTTAAAAATAGCGTCTTTAAGTGCTTTTGTCCATCTGTCTTGTTTTCCCTCTCTCTGAAATCACCTCAGTTAAAGTTATGGTCCTTTTTGCCCAAACGGTGAATTAGTCTGATTGGAATTTCTGCCCCGGTGACGTAGAGTGCAGACTGTCACAATGAAATAATCTGCCCGACCTGGCTTTGTGACGGCAAACGGCTGCTCCAAGAGTTTTGCAGCCGGAGAGAAAGCTTTAGAGTTAATTAACACGGGTTATAAATGTCACTAAGACGTTTTTGTCAAATCCAATTGTGGTAGATTTTAATGAAAGCCAAAAGAGAAGTGTGTGTCTAGTTGGAGATTGTAGATTGGCTTCCTTATTATGCTAAAGCTAGAGATTGTATTTTATTGTTAATTTATCTTGTGTTGTGTGCTACTTTTGTTGACAATTCTTACCAGGTTTTATTTTGATATATTGATTCTCTTCATCCTTTCCCTGTCTGTTCAGTTGATTCTCTGGTCCACCTTTTACCTGTGTCTCTCTGTGTGTATTCAACCCAAGCCCCGGCGATCCAAGATGGCCACCATTGGGGCCGAAAGATTAGTGGAGCCCACCATTATTTGGGCATATCTCTGGTCCTCCCGGTTTTTGGCAGTGGATGACCTCCCATGATGCTTTGTGCCAAATACTAATGAGGACATTGAGGTCTATAGGAATAATAGAACGCATGAATTTAGTCTTAGTTAGACTGCAGTACTGCGAGAATCCTCCGAGCTAGTAATACTCTATCCAGATTTTATTATAGATCCATAATTTAAACCCTGTACATGGGACAAATATTAGTCGTACACAATCTGGCCTTCATGGACAAACGCTAAAAGAAAGATATGTGTTGAAATGAAGCCAAATGGGACGTGTTGAATTCGCAGCTGCAGTTCTAAACCCAAACCCACTGTAACTTTGGACGCACATTAACAACTATTTTTGAATGGTTGACAAAGTAAAACAGCTGCAGTATGTTCAAAACGCTGCAGCTCGAGTCTGGACGAGAACCAGGAAGTACCATCAGTACCATTAGTCCAGTTCTCAGGTCTCTGCTTCCTGTGGCTCAGAGAATAGACTTTTAAAACAGCTCTGGTTGTGTAAAAAGTCTCTTCATGGCCTCGCACCAAAATATATTAGTGACATGTTAGTCCCATATGAACCAGCCCGGACTCTGAGGAGCACAGGGACTGGCCTCCTGCTGGGACTCTGAGGAGCACAGGGACCGGCCTCCTGCTGGGACTCTGAGGAGCACAGGGACTGGCCTCCTGCTGGGACTCTGAGGAGCACAGGGACCGGCCTCCTGCTGGGACTCTGAGGAGCACAGGGACTGGCCTCCTGCTGGGACTCTGAGGAGCACAGGGACCGGCCTCCTGCTGGGACTCTGAGGAGCACAGGGACTGGCCTCCTGCTGGGACAGTGATGCACAACCATGATATTTCTTTGCCATTGAAATACCAGCGCTGTGTTCTCGGCCTGTCTTTGAATGCAGCACACATAACAGGCTTGTGCTTGTAACACTGTCTAAGACCCATGTTGCCTTCACGCTCTATAATGAGACTCCACACGGCTTGGAGAAAGGCCGAGGGGGCTGGACTTTGGCAAGACGCGACTGTGAGACTAGAGCAGTGGGGTCTTTTGTTCCTGAATTAGAAGGACGAGAAGGGACCGGCAACCCAGGCCAAGTCCGGATGAAAGGGGCGGACGGTACAAAGGGCCTGCTGGTTTTAGAATGGAGCCGTAACAAGAAGTTTTCAAGGCACGGTGTGTGGACCCGACGGCTTTTCACAGTTTGTTCAGAGCAAAAAGAAAAGCAGCCATGTATGCATGAGTGTGTTTGGATATGGAGATGAGGCGGCATCGGCGGATCTGTTGGTCCGAGGTTTTCTATCTTGTTTCTGAACGTGTAGATTAAAAAAAATTGCAGTTTAAGATTAAGATCCTTTATTCGTCACATAGTGGGGAAATTCAATTCAATTCAATTTTTCTTTTTATATAACCCTAAATCACAACAGTAGTTATCTCGAAGGAATAAAAACATAACCTTCTCTACCGACTCTCACTGATGTCTTCTGTTGTTGTGTCCTTGAGCAAGAACCATTAACCCCACTTTGCCTGAAGCCCCCGCTGAAAGATCAAGGCTCCTGTGGATCAGTAAGGGGCTGGGGCTATGTGTACTGGGTGCAGCTCTGACTGACTGCCACCCCCCGACCCAGAATTGGATTAAGGGGAAAGACAATGGATGGATGGAGGAGTACAAGAGCCATCATCTACCAGAGAACCACACAAAGCAGCCTTCTTCCTGCACGTCAAAAAAAAAATGCAGCTAGCAGATTTCTTACTGTGAACAAGAAAACAATGGAGAGCTATAGGTTCATATCATCTATAAATACTTTCTATTCTTCTCTGCTCCCTCTTCACGTTTGCATATTTCGACTCATAAAGTGCGCAAGAAAACAATGGAGAGACACAGGTTGATATTGTCTATAAATACGTCCCATTCTTCTCTGCTCCCTCCTCACTTTTACACCTTTCTCCTCATAATTTGATTCATAGTAAGTAAGTGAGTCATCTTTATGTATTCAGCGCCTTTCACAGACCAGAGTCACAATTGTTTTCGAGGAAATTGTTTCAATACAGATTTTAGATTTTATTAATGAGAACCGAGAATCGTTGAGAAATTCCAATCCAGTTTTAAAGCACAACACAGTCCAGAGATAGCTCTCCTTAGAGTTTTAAATGACCTTTTAACCACAGACAGAGGAAGGTGCTCTGTTTTAATTCTTTTAGACCTAAAGCTTAGCGTACATCGGACTGGCAACTGATTATATCCGTCGCCTTTGAGTTGCTGCCCCGCACACATCGACAATCTGACGAAAACGGGCAACTCCCAGTAGCAGACCAGTCTCGGGAATAACAGCGCGTACATCGACAGCAACTGGCCTCAACTACAGTGTGTTTTCTGACATAAACTGTTGCGGGCTCGCAATACACGCAATACACACACGTTGTCGGAGCGGCGCATGGAGCGCGCACATCGGGTCATATCTCCGAAACTGAGGACAACTAGTTGCCGAAAAGTAGAACACGGGCAACTGACTGAAACTGGAGACCGACTGATCATCTCCAGTTGTAAGAGCGCGCACATCGACCGATTTCGGCAACTGATCATCTCCCACCATCTCCTCTCAGTTGCCAAAAGCCGCCTTGCAACTAGTTGTCCCCAGTTTCTATGTCGATGTACGCTAGGCTTTAGACACAATCGACCATAAGATTTTATTGGATCAGAGATACTGCACTTGGTTGGTTTCATTCTTATCTTTTAGACAGAACCTTTGCCGTCACCCGGGGGAAACCTATGCAGACACAGGGAGAACATGCAAACTCCACTCAGAAAGGCCCTGTTCCGACCAGGATTTGAACCCAGCGCTATCCACTCGCTAGCCACCGTACCGCCCCCTACTACTACATGCTGGCGGTGTGAAGGTGTCCTCCAGCACCTGTGGGTACGATTGTCACCCCAGTCTCCCTGAATGTCACGCTCTCTGTGGACTCTGTGGACTCTGTGGACTCTGGGAAAAGGCCGGACAGCTGTAGGACTGGGCTCATGGCTGTAGTCTGGTCCACACACAGTCGAGCAACAGAGAGGTGTGAAGTTTGACACGGTGCAGGTATCTGGCTACTGCTCCGACTGGCTGCGAACGAGGAGACGGACATAGAGCACATTGTGAGGGTTAAGAAATGTCAGAAGAAGTATTAAATATATCAGACTATGTTGTCACACAAGGCACAAATCATCAGATAAAACACCAAAACCACCATTTCAGAGTGAGTCGGCAGCTGCAGTCGGAGTGAAGACCGCTCTCACAACAGGAAGCATAACAGCAGCTGCAAACACAGGGGGAACAAGACCAGGTCCACAGGGGAGACCAGGAGAGACCAGGTCCACAAAGCCAGAAATCATCTGTCGAAAGGAGCCATGAGTTCACACCACTCACTGCAACAGAATTAAGGGAAAAAATGTGTTATTTATTCTAAAAAGTGAGGTACCCCAGCTTTAAATGACTTTTAGGGCTCAATATTGTTTGTGTCCAGCTAGGCCTTAAAGGAAAACAACGCATTGCTAACAAAATATATAACTGAAAGATTACCGTTAGTTCCACGTACAAATGTAGTCCGAGCACAGATAGTCCGAGCGTAGATAGTCCGAGCGTAGATAGTCTGAGCGTAGATAGTCCGAGTGTAGATAGTCCGAGCATAGATAGTCCGAGCATAGATAGTCCGAGGCGGTCCCGCAGGTCTCTCCCATAGACAAGTCTCTCCAGAGGATACGATGTAAGCTAGCTATGTTCACCCGGGCTTGATTTCTTCTTTGATCATGTTTTGGCTTTAGTTCCTCTTCTCTTCCTCACTGTTGTGTCATTTGGGCTGTTTTGCTGTGTCTGCAGTTACAGCCAGAGGAGTTATAGCCACTTATGCTAACATGCTACTGTGTTTAGCAGCGCTGTAGAGGCTAGAGGACGCAGCCTTGTCTGTGATTGGAGGAGAGCGGGCGTCACGCTAAAGTCTCTACTCAGCACTTTTTACGCCTGAATTCATACACAGCTGAATCAATGAGCTCAAGTAATCAATTAAATTAGGATTATAACACAACTTGTATGTAGTAATAGCATTTTTATGAACTCGTTAAGAAAGAACAATTGCGTATAGCTTCTTTAATGATGTGGAAAAGTACAAAAGTGTGTTCCCGGATGAGAATGTGCTGAGTTGTAGAAGTGTTTAGTCCTTATATGAAAGGAGCTACAGCGACATTGAGCTCAAAGACTGATATGTTCTGATTATAGTGAGACTGCAAGTTACCATCTGCAGTCCCTGGTCTCACACAAAAAACATAATAACACAAAACGAAATTAAGAACACACGGATAAATAAACACACACACACCACTCACACACACACACACACGACACAGTTCCATCACCACAAATCCTCTCATTCACATCATATAGAATAAAACTTGTAGCAAAAATCTAGTTTCAGTTGTATTTTCTACTAATAAAGTTGATATCTCTCTATTTGGATTAAAAGAATCAATTTTCACATTAATATTGATATCTTAAAATGTAACAAAATATTTATTTATTGTTCATCCGCGAATCAAAAACTTTGCAATGTCCTCTGAGATAACAGCTGTTTGTAATTTTAGGGCAATACAAAAATAAAAAATATTATTAGTAAAATCAGTTATTGTCGGGAGCCACATTTAAAGTTTTTATTATCCTCATTTATTTTTAACATATTTTTGTATTTTGACACAAATTACTGTTATTTTACATGAGTTTAGATATATTTACATTTGACCACAAATGGGCCAAATATCAATAAGATACTCTGCCGCCCGCCTCATCACTCAGACCCGCCCCAGAGAACACATCACCCCTGTCCTTCATAAACTCCACTGGCTCCCATTAAACACCGCATTCATTGCAAAATCCTCCTCATCAGCTACAAAGCCGTCCATAACCTGCTCCAGACCTCCTCCCGTCGACTCCGATCTGCAGACTCACATCTCCTCACTCCCACTGGCAACTCTAAGCTTCAAACCTTGGGGGACAGAGCTTTCATCTCTGCTCCCACTCTCTGGAACTCTCTCCCCCCTCACCTCAGAAACTCAGACTCACTAAACGCCTTTAAAAAAACAGCTAAAAACTCACCTCTTCCTCCAAGCATACGACTCTTAGTAGGTTTCCTCCAGGTACTCCGGTTTCCGTTACCACTAAAAGCAAGGGGAGTTTGCAAGTTCTCCCCGTGTCTGCATAGGTTTCCTCCAGGTGCTCCGGTTTCCCCTACCACTAAAAGCATGTACAGTAGCTCTGAATGTATTGAGTGAGTGAATGGATGGTGTTGATTGGAGGTTTTTTTGAAAATATCTGATTTTCCGAGTATTGTAAAGTGCTTTGAGTGACCTTGGCCTGTGAAATGCGCTATACAAAAAAACAATACTAACTTACTTACTATCTTATCCTGAATCTCTGAGGACAGGCCTCACGTCGCCCTGAGCAGCAGACCCTTCCCTTTCTCTCTTGTATCGACTTGTTTTTGGTCGTGTTCCCGCTCCGGCTGACATATTTATTTACTCTCCTCAGTGTCGACTTTACCCACAATGCAACAGTGCTGCTGCGTTGTGTTCCGAGGGCTCCCACGGGTATTAGGTGCTGTGAGGAGGCCTGGGTGGGACAGGGGGACGTGGTTCTTTTGTGCCTCCTCTATTCACCACCGGGACCTCTCCTGGCTCCGGGTCCGCTAACCTGACGCGGACTACAGCCTCCTCCTGGCGCGGCCTTGATTAGAACGCTTTGGAATCAGATGTAAAACGAGGAGAAAGAGCGGCCAAGTGCCACTCACACGGCTTTAATTAAGAAAATCAATCTTGTAGGTGACCACGGGGTAATGTCAGCGTCTGCGGAGATAAGTTACAGGATAAATACTGTTTCAAATCTACATGTTTGAGATTTAAAGAGTTCATTTATTTATTTATTCATTTATAATTTCTTTACTATTATCAGTGAGAGGAATAGCCCCTTGAGATGAAGCCGTTTGTTTTCGAGGGCTTCAAATTCACCCAAAAAACAAGCTACACAGCAGAGCAGAATAACAAAAAAGTAGACAAAGACAAAACACAAAGAAGAAATAAAAAAATATATATATTAATAATAAATACATAAATAATAATAATAAAAAATAAACATGACAATGATAAAGATGGGGGTAGTCTTGCACAGTTTTTCCAATGGCAAATAAATGAATCTGAATCTAAAAATCAACAATAATAACCCACACCCTCTCACTCTCACACACACAAGCAGACGTACAGCTTTCAGTATTCCACCCTCCCCCCGCATTAAAGTATTGAAACATATCTATAACCTATGCAAAAGAAAACATGGAGAAGGAGGCACTCTGAAAACTGTTCTTTTCAATGACCGACAGTGATATCTATAACCTATATTTAAGATCCATCCACACATTTAAAAATCAAATTCATTTAAATAAGGAAAAGGCTTTAATGAAATTTGTCCTTTGCATTTGACCTGTCCTGTTGCCAAACTTATCTTACCTTTTGCAAACTCCACTCAGAAAGGCCACGTTCTGACCGGGATTTGAACCCAAGACCTTCTTACTGTGACATGCCACTGTGTCGTCCCATTTGATTACAATGTTGTTGTTGCCACGCCCCCTGACACACGCAAGCCACGCCCCCTGTCATACACAAGTCACGCCCCCTGTAATGCAAAAGCCACGCCCCCTGACACACACAAGCCACACCCCCCTGACATGCCACTGTCTCCCCATTTGATTACAATGTTGTTGTTGCCACGCCCCCTGTCACACACAAGTCACGCCCCCTGTAATGCAAAAGCCACGCCCCCTGTCACACACAAGCCACGCCCCCTGTCACACACAAGTCACGCCCCCTGTAATGCAAAAGCCACGCCCCCTGTCTCACACAAGCCACGCCCCTATCTCACACCAGCCACGCCCCTGTTACACACAAGCCACGCCCCCGTCACACACAAGCCACACCCCCTGTCACACACAGGCCACGCCCTGTCACACACAACCCGGGAAAAACAGAAAGGGAGGGGCTTCGGCAGAGCAAAACACAAAAACACAAACCCAATCAGCGTTTACCCCTTTTTCCTTTCGTGAATTATGTTCTTACTGTTACATACAAGTTGAGTCTGAAGAAGAAAATGAAATCCCATTTTCAGATTAAGAGTAGTACCAAATAAGCTGCTCAGCGAATGATTAACGCGTCTCCAGCTGTCTGCGCTGCCCACCGGAGTGAAAGGGAAATCCACTTTTAATGAAGTCGATCCACCGCCGGCGAGACGCGGTAAGAGCTCTGGAGGCGCTCGTCAACGTCCAACACGGGAATCATCAAAACCAATGGATGTGGAGAGAACCAAGTGCATTTCGATTCCACCTCCAGACCTTTCTGTGTGGGGTGTGCATGATTTCTCTGTGTCTGTTTAGGTTTCCTCCAGGTGCTCCGGTTTTCCCTGCCATAAAAAACATGCATACGTACAATAGGTCTGATGTGCTTCCTGTAGGAGACCTTGCTCCCGTCTCTGTGTGGAGTGAGAGACAAATGCACACAACAATTACACAAAGCGCTTTAAAATTCTGGTCTGGCGTTTTATGAATAAAGGTTAGACTTACTATATTCAATCCATCAATATTTATTAAAAAAACATCCACAAGTTTTGAAAAGGGGTTGGATAGACGTAGCAACATTCAGCTGTGTGTGGTCTTGATAAGCAGGTGGCGGAACTATCTTTTTGGGTCAGGTCAAGATCAATTATTTACAAACTCGTGGCTCATATGTAACCAACAATGCAATTTTGGATGAAATTAGGAGAAGGGGGTTTTCATAAGAGGCAAATGATCAATGCAGGTCCTTTGTACTGTATGTAGGGGGGGGGGGGGGGGCTGTAATGTATCAGTAGTTTTGGTGGTGAAAACTGGTGTAAATATTGTTTTTGTGAGCAGCACAAAAGTAATGAAAAACAAGTTAAAAATTGCTCAAATTTGGCAAAATGTTTATTAATTTTAGCACATTCTGAATGCCCTGTAACGAGATTTACCAACGGAACAAGATATTTCAAGAACTGTAGCTTTATTTTCTCATTTCAAGGCAGACATTTGTTGTACATTATATTTTAAAAAACAAGATACTTTTGCTTTGTCCCGTTGGATAATATGGTTTTAAGGCTCAGTCAGAATGTGCTATAATTAAGATACATTTTGCCAAATTTGAGCTGCAATTTTAGATTTTTATCACTTTTTGCAGTGCATGCACTGACGCCAAGAAGAAAAGCTAATGGAGATCAAATAAATACAAATACAGATATCCATAAATGTCGTTGAATGTGTCCTGAATCATCACCACTGGCCATAAGTGGTACTGCAGCCTCTCCCACTCTCCCTGACTCAGGTTGCCAGATATGCAGACGAATCCAGCTGGGACCATAACAGCTGAATAGACAAGAGTTTTGTCAACAACAAATCTATAACCAACACCTTTTTCACAAAGATAGAAATCCTGGTTTTATTCCTTGTTTTGTCGTTAATGGTTTGAGAATCATAACGAGACCTTTTTTTAGTTCTGCTCCACATGGTACTTTACCAGTGAGATTAGCTCCACGCGGTGAGTTCTGGCGCCCGGATCAGACTTTCTGATTGGTAAAACAATGGAGGGCGGGACATCGAAATGAAAACATGAAAGATTTAGGGACTGGAAAAGTAATTTTGAATTTTGGTTAAAAAATTAAGAATGACTTTTACTCTGGGCCCAGATTCTCCCACTGCTACAATCAAACTGATCTTTTCTCTCTGTTGTTGTTTTCAGAGCGAGCAATGGCCAGACACGAGGTGCGGGAGCTGGAGCAGAGGCAGATGCAGGAGTGGGGCGTTCGGGAGCCGAGCTGGACCCAGACGGACTCAGATGAGGACCTGGTGATTGTCTATAACCGGGTCCCCAAGACGGCCAGCACCTCCTTCACCAACATCGCCTACGACTTGTGCGGGAAGAACCACTACCACGTCCTGCACATCAACACGTCCAAGAACAACCCCGTCATGTCCATCCAGGACCAGGTAGAGAGAGAGAGACGGAGAGAGAGAGAGACAAGGAGACAGAGAGAGACAGAGAGACACAAGGAGACAGAGAGAGACAGAGAGAGAGAGAGACAAGGAGACAGAGAGAGACAGAGAGAGAGAGAGACAAGGAGACAGAGATACAGAGAGTGAGAGAGACAGAGAGAGACAGAGAGAGACGGAGAGAGACAGAGAGAGAGAGAGACAAGGAGACAGAGATACAGAGAGTGAGAGAGACAGAGAGAGACAGAGAGAGACAGAGAGAGAGACAGAGAGAGAGACGGAGAGAGAGAGAGACAAGGAGACAGAGAGATACAAGGAGACAGAGAGATACAGAGAGTGAGAGAGACACATAGTGAGAGAGACAGAGAGAGAGACAAGGAGACAGAGAGACAGAAAGAGACAGAAAGAGACAGAGAGAGAGACAGAGCGAGAGACAGAGCGAGAGACAGAGCGAGAGACAGAGCGAGAGAGACACAGACCTGTCTCTGGGTGAGAGAGAGAGAGAGAGACAGAGAGAGAGAGAGAGACAGAGAGAGACCGAGCGAGACCGAGAGAGACCGAGAGGGGGAGAGTTGCATAACAGCTCAAGATAAGCGAACAATAACTCTATACTAATTAAAATAAAAACTAAAACTGTATTAACTCTAGTATCAAAGAACAAGTATAAAATCTCCATCTTAAACATAATAATAATAAAGAAGTATATATTATTTTAACTAAAATACATGGTTTGACGATTTTCCTTATGTTTAACAGTGCAATAAAAATAGGACCCCTTCGAAAAAGATTTAAAGTGATAAAGTATATGTATGTATATTTATTGTATAGTTTTATACACTGCAAAAAAAATGATCAAATATGAGGTAATAATGGCTTGAATCGAGTTTTTATGTTAATTTGAGTACATTCTGTCATTCTGCATTTTTTTGTATTTTAACCTCTATCACAGCAACTTTTTAAGAAAGAAAACCTGGAACAGAAATAACCCTCGCTCAGACAAATTAAACTTATGAATGAAGTTTTGGTTCTGATTATGAAGCTCATCTCTCCATTCACAAGTTTAATTCAAACTATATAAAAATACTCCAATGCTCCAAAAAAACTAGACAAAATATCTACAATCGAAGCAAATGCACTATACTTGGATCATGATTTTTCCACTTGTTAAGATGTATTAAAAAATAAAAAATAAAAATGACTAACAACTAATATTATCTAAATTATACTCAGACTGCAGGAGTAAGAAAGTGTTTTAAAAACCTGGTGTGATTAGATAAATACACTGAACTCAAGTGAACGACACTAGTCTATATTTTCACTTTTTGCAGTGCTCATAGCTACACTGCAAAAAGTTTAAAATTCTCAAATTTGACCACATTTATTGTAATCTGACACATTCTGACTGTGTTAAAACAAGATTCTCCAACGGGACAAAGCCATTTACTCTTATTTCAAAAACTATTTCTTTATTTTCTCATTCCAAGTCAGACATTTCTTGTATCTTTTAAAAACAAGATCATTTTTCTTTGTCCGTTTGGCAAATCTTGTTTTACGGCAGTCTTAAAAACCTGCTCAAATCACGGGTAAAGTCCTGAAGCCTTTAATGCACGTGGTCTCAAACATGAATCTAACGGAAGGAAACATGAATATAATCCCAACACGGAGTCAAACTTTGATAAATCGTCTTAAAGCAGTTGTGTGGCCTTTTAGTGTCATAACGATGTTGCATCACCGTCTGTCACAGTGATCCTCACTCTCACTGACGCTCCAGACGCTCCAGACGCTCCTCCTTCTTCCTCCTTCCTCCTCCTCTTCCTCCTTCTTCCTCCTTGTTCCACCTTATTCCTTCTTCCTCCTTCTTCCTTCTTCTTCCTCCTTCCCTCTTCCTTCTTCTTCCTCCTTCCTCCTCCTTCTTCCTCCTTCTTCCTCCTTCTTCCTCCTCCTTCCTCCTCCTTCCTCCTTCTTCCTCCTTCTTCCTTCTTCTTCCTCCTTGTTCCACCTTCTTCCTTCCTTCTTCTTCCTTCTTCCTTCTTGTTCCACCTTCTTCCTCCTTCTTCCTCCTTCTTCCTCCTTCTTCCTTCTTCTTCCTCCTTCTTCCCCCTTCTTCTTCCTTCTTCCTTTTTCTTCCTTCTTCCTCCTTCTTCCTCCTTCCTCCTTGTTCCACCTTCTTCCTTTTTCTTCCTTCTTCCTCCTCCTTCTTCCTTCTTCTTCCTCCTTCCTCCTCCTGCTTCCTTCCTACTTCCTTCTTTCTCTTCTTCCTCCTTCCTCCTCTGT